TAGTTCGTTACTTCGTAATTACTAATTACTTACTATTTACCTTTCTACTATGTGTGTGTGTGTGTGTGTGTGTGTGTGTGTGTGTGTGTGTGTATATATATATATATATATTAGGCCTGTTTTCATCATTCATAATTTCTTATCCACACACATTTACCCACAGCTAACAAAAAATTCAACTTAATTTTAAAAAGGGGCACTCAGTAGTGTATATACCTTCGCCACACGGCATTAATCATATTCAGTTCTAAAAAAATACGAACATGTGTCTGTACATCTGTTGTTATTAACGGATGTGGACCATATTTGGCAGGAAGTTGAAGAATAATATTTTACATATGTCCACCAAGTTTTATCAAAATCCAATCATTTTTGGCTGAGTTACAGAGCAAAAATAGTGTGAAAAATTGGTCCCCATGTTAACAAATAGGGATTTTTTTGAATTTTTGTGACTTTTGCTGTGACTATGACTTTAACAATCCAAAAACTAATCATTTCTAGGTTGGGACATATTCCAAATGTATACCAACTTTTGTCCAAATCCATTCAGCCATTTGAGAAATCTTGATGACACACACACAGGGGTGAAAACATAACTTCCATCACCTTCAGTGACAGACGTAAAAAAAAGTATATTACTGTGGCCATTGCTTTCTTACATTGGTTCAACAGTCTTTTATAGTGCTATATAAAATGGAATACACAGAAACTATAAACCAACAACATATAAAACAAAGGCACTTTCTTTGTCTAATAAATAATTATCTTGTTTTCTAACTAAGGAAATTCAGCAAATTATTAATGCTTAAAATATCAAATCATAACAAATTTCTATATAATAGAAAATGAATTGATTCATCAAATGTTTGTGATTAATGACAGAATTCTGAACTTTTTAAACCTAGTTCCTATTCAGAAGTTTCAAATTGCCCCAAAATACAGAGAGTTGAGGTACATTATATTAAAACATTTTTGAATACACAAATCAGCAAGTCAAATAACAATCACCGCAGATATAATATCACAAGGGAATGATATGTATCAGAATTACATTTTTTATATTGTTTGGCATTTCATAAAGTGTGATGCCATTGAAAATTGACTGTTTTTTGGAAGGATATGTTACAGCTCTTTCTAATACAAGATATTCATACACTCAGATCATAAAGATGTGTTAATATTAGAAACTTAGAACTTACAAAATGGGGAATATCTTTTGTATTTAATGGTTTTTGAAGACAAAGGCATATAGATCAACTTTGGACACCAAGGCCATCCAGAAAGAGATCTGCAACAGGTCATTTTCTAGCCATGGGAAACGAAGTGTGGTGTCTTGTAACAGATGAGAATCCATTAATGCAAAGGTTGATGGTAAAATCCATCCAGATATCCCAGAAAACAGAATGCAACATAATGAAGAAAGATCTCAATCTGGAAAAGTGACACAAGTTGCTTCCATGACAAATCCATTCAATTGCTGGGGACTGAAATAGGTATTAATGCTATTCTATACAAAGACATATTGGCCAAATGGGCATACACCTATGGATTTCTGTGTGATTAGACTGTTGAAACATGCATTGGGAAATTGTCATCGTCCTACATTAGATAATGGAATGCAGCAGGGAAAAGGGGTGTTCTTTGGACATGACAGCCCTGTGATGCAGCTTTTTGCAATGGAAACTACACTACAGAGCTATAGTGAAGATTCACAATAACTAGAAAGAGCATGACCAGAAAAAATATATACATGTATGTATACATAAGGTAAAAGTGTGGAATGTTATAGTTTAAGTGTTTACATAAAATGATTATGGAAAAACTAGACCATATAACATAACCAACCTTTTCAATTAAAGATAAAACAATAGCAAGCTATATGTATAATCATCAACAAGTTAAAGTTATGTCTAATATATTTCAGTGTTTGATTAGAAGCAATCTACTTCTAAGCTGTAACTTATTTATGGTTTTAGCATAAACAGAAAAATATGATACAGTTTTTGTTTCCAGGTTTGTCAAAACCCATCACAATAAAACGTAATTCTGTTCCTAAAAGGTGTATTACAAGAATTATAATAAAACTTTAAAATCTTTACACTTCATTAATCACTCATAATAATTATTAGTTTAAACTTAGTCCATAAGATCACCGTTTTTTTTTTTACTTAAATCACTATTACAACATTTAGGTTCAAGCATTCACTACAAGTTGCAACACAAGGTTTTCTCAAAAACAAGCACTACTTTAAGTTAAAAACCACAAAAGTTCATTACATAATTAAAATCTGCAAAATATGGCTTGTAAGTTATGACATTCAGTTTTGAGTTCCAACTAACTGGATTTACTATAAAAGTATAATTTACAAATATATATATATCAAATAGTACTATAACAAGTTACTCTGCTCATATCTGAGTGTGAAAAATACAAGTTTCAAGAAAGATCTAAATAAATTCATCCTTCATTGGAAATTAACTTAAGTTAATTATTTAGTTGATATCACAAAAAATAATATCTATAAGTCTAGTTAGCACCAAAATGAAGCCAGATCATGTTTGTACATTACAATGTTAAGCTGTACCCAAATTACCTACCACCTTCCAGTGTGAGATGTGTAAAGCTGGTTGTAAAAAGAAAACAAGTGAGAAATGATATATATTTTTCATACAATCAGCATTAGATAAAAAAAAAGAACTTCTAAATAGTAAGATTTTTTTTCACTAGTGATAGTTGGGTCGCTAAAGATCCAGAGTTGTGTGAAAGTGCACAGTCTTTAATATCAAGTCTGTGTAAGGTGTATGGAATTTTGTACTGATACTTTTCTTTACACTGTGCTGGAAAATATCTGCTGAGAATAATACAAAACTATTTTACACAAAAACATTTGCAAAGCTCCTAGGCAACTTCTGTGTTACAATAGTTTTATTTTGAAGAGCAGAATGACTGAGTTTGTATACAAGGAAATGTACTAATTATAATTTCTTGTTTTTATTTATAGTTAAAACAAATATCTTTGTGATTTCACTGCAACTCCACCCCTGACTACAGGCCTAATACATTAGCTGAAAAAAAAAAAATACGATTCACAAACATCACTGACTGTTAAATTTTTAAAAACTAAACATTCTGTAAGTTCATTACGAAAGTTTACCCATATCTCGGGTCTATCAAAGGAACAAAAGTTGTGTGTGTGTGTGTTAAGTTAAAATATAGGGTGTCCAAAAATTATTAAACTACTTTTTCAACTTTAAAAAAATATGTAAGAACCACACCAGATAAAGAGTTGTCGTTTGTGGGAGATTGCCTTATGAAGTTTTTCCCACTAGTTTAGAGGAGGGTATGTAAAGGACATTATAAGATAAAGGTACCAAACACATCAACAATGCAAGCATTAATAACCAACATAACTGTGACTATTACTCCAGAGATGCTTGCACCTACATGTGTGAAAATAAAAGATCAATTCCAGCCTGGACATCCTTCAAGCCACAAACAAGGGTCAATGTAGAGATGTACTAATGACACTACTGGCCAAGGGCAAACCTGATGTGTTAATCTCTATTATACTGAAACTACAAATGTATATCTTATAGAGCTCTCATTTTATTCAATTAATAAAGTAGTTCAATAATTTAGGGATACTCTGTACTTTGACATTACATGTAGTTTCTTAATAATGAAACCAGAGGATCATATTCTAGTTAATACTAATATTTGTTTCATAAGTTGAGTATTTAACCAATACTATTCTTATGAGCAAAGAAAGTACAACACCTACAATATATGAATTCACTGTACAACTTAGAATGTATCAAAACCATAATATCTCTGCATAATCTACCAAATACATTGTTTCAGCCAAAATAAAAGCACTCTTCCCCCATTTTTAGAAAATGATTGTAATTTTATCCACACTACATCACACGAATTTTGCATGAAAACATGTTATTACTAAGTAGTTTCGAGGATACTTTTGGAATCAGGTAATCCTCATATGAAGTATCCCAACACCAAATATCTCAGATGTGTACATTTAATAAAAATGGCACGTTTTTACAATGAATAGGCTTTAATCCAAAATTGATCAATCTATATTAAATTATTCTTGGATACTGAATAGAAATCATCATAGTAATGAATTGTTAGTTTTTAATTCAGTAAACTACTAAACAATACAATAATACAGGAACCATGGTAGCAATAGAGGTGTCTGTCATTCAGTATAATAAAATACAAACTGTGTAATCAAAGTCTTCATGACAAACTAAATTACTAAAGCAGAAACTGATGAGATTCTTTAGTGGAAAGAAAACGTATAAATTCCATCTAATGAATACTTATAATAGCTGTTTACCAAGTAACCATATTTACATGCTTTATTGTATTTTTGTTGATGTAACAGGAAGTCTTATCTTAGTTCCTTTAACAAATATCACCAAAACTATATCTGTATAGGAAGTAATTTTTACAACATTGAGGAACCAAAGATTGAAATGCATCATGGAATTTCAACAAAGGTTTGTGTATGATACAGTTTTTGTACTTCCCACTTCCTGATAAACACTGAAGCTCTTACTTAAATAGTAAGCTATACATCTACCTGCCTAATTAAAAGTGAAATATCAAATTTTATGTGGTTTTTAATAACATTTGAAACGATGGTTTCATACTAGTAGCTTTAACTGCTACACATCATGTGTGCACACTTAAAGAAATACCTCCTGAGGAGTATAAACGGCGTTCTTAATCATCACTATAAGGATGTCATAGCCGGGGGCCTTGCATATGCTTTAGGGATAAAACCATACTTTCTTGTCTTGGGAGCATAAGCCCATAACCAACCGTCCACTGTCTGGTTATTCAAGTCTGCATACACCCAGTCTCCCCTTCGTACACTGAGGTCATCAGGAGCCTGTGCCTTATAATCATACAACATAACAAGCTCGCTGCCATGACACCGGAGGTCTTCAGGAGCTCCAGGAGGTGGATGGTGGTTATTATTTAAAGACTGGGTAGGATGTGTCTGATCTGCAGGGTTCACAACTTGTTGTCCTACGTGCTCTATTCAAACACAAGTTGATATTTTTAATCAAAAGTTACACATTATTTTCCAATTAATAACTTTATTCATTATATTATTATAGTTCAACAATAACCATTTTGTAACAGTTCAAATCAGTTATTCTGATATATTAGTTATAAACAGTTGTATACTTTTGAGGTTCAGATGAGTTATCCATTCAACAGACAATTTACAGCCATGAGACCATATATTTCCTGTCTAGATCATCTTCAATATTAAGGATCTAGAAAAATGGTATTCTCTTGACACCACTATCTTGTTTCATCATAACATACAAAATATAAACGAATATGATTACAAAAAACTCATTAAAATAATTAATAGAATCCTAAATGTACCTACAATCTATACGTTTGTATAAAAGTAAAATAAGAATTTTTTATACGGGAATAGGAATCATATATATACAAATTGAAAATGCATATAAACTCAACTTGGAGAGGTTTATTATTGATAATATGAAGAGTGTATTTTTAGCACCGTACCTTGAATTGCATCAGCAGGATAAACAAAAGCACTTGGCACAAATCCTTCCTGACCATCAGAACGAACTATCCAAAACCAATCTGGATCTTCACGATTCATAACTGTCACAAGCTCACCCCGTTCAACACTTACATCATTTTCATCTCTAGCTATGAATGTATATAACACAATGAACCTTCCTGCAGGGTCCTTGAAAAACGGATGGACATTGGGCAAAGACACTTGAGATGATGACTGTGAATTCTGCAGTCCGAGGCTGCTTACACCTTTTTTTACTTGATGTGCACCACCAAAACTCTCTGCATCAGAATGCTGTCCACCACTGTCACCTGAAAGAGTCCCCCTCGAAGATGTTTGGTCAAGTTCGTGTTCAGTTTCATTCCTTGGAAGTTTCTTATGTTTGACATTTAGAGCTAAATCAGCTGGTTGTGTACCATATGGAGCACAGTAAGAATGGGGAATAAAGCCTTCCTGGCTGTTCTCAGCTATTACATACACCCAGTCATTTTCTTGGTAAAGTACATTTACAACCTGACCTCTTCTGACTTCTAATTCATCATCAACACAAGGAGTAAAGTCATGAAGTACAACCACCTTGGAGTCTGGAGACAAGCCATTTTCTTTTTCTATTCCAACTCGGACTAAAGTTTCAATGCTAGCACTTCCAGTGATACGACCAATACTGGGTGTTCTAGATGAAAGCTTGTCTCCTTCTACATGAGACAAAAACAAAAGCATTTTCTTCTAATCTTATAAGTTGAGTTTTAGAAATGAACTGTTTGTATTGCATTACAGTTTGGATGAAAACCATATGAAAGCCCATTTAAAAACTGAAAAAAGAATTGTTTAAGTATACAAATAATTCTGTTTGCTTGTTTAACATTCCACTGAATGTTTTTGAAAAATATTACATTAATAAACATGTTAATTGCTCAATGTTCAGTTTTCTCTCTCTACCACTGATCTAGGAAAAAAATCAGGGACAAGTTCTTATTAAAGTTAAAAATGTCTATATAAAAATTTATTCTTGAAATGTAATTAGAAATATAAAAAAAACAGAATGTTAGAAAGCTGAACACGTTTAGCTATGAACAAGTTCAGGTATTTTAAGGTTAGTTACTTTGTCACAAATCCAAAGTTAAAACAGTTAAGATAAAAGTGTTCATCTGACAATATAAAGCCATGTTCAGATAACAGTGTTTTATGTCACAAATTTCCAGGAGAGGTCACAAAGACTAGTGAGCAGATAACATAAATGTAGTTTTATACTAACTGGACTCACTTGTAATATTTGGTTTTATATAATACAAAAAACATCTTAAAGAAATACTAAAAACACAAATACTAGATAACTGATGAAAATGCAAACATTGATATGTCTAGGGAGGATACACAAAGCTGTAGGCATATTGTTGTTAGTAAAGTATTGAAGCTTGTTGTCAAAACTTATTTAAAAGAATATTTTTTGGAAAGCTGGTATTTATTTACTGATTTTAGGCAGAAAACAGTTTTCTTGCCTTACCATTTAGTTGAAGATTTATTGTAAGACCCCTGCAGTTTTGGATGTGTGAATCCTAGTTAATGTTGTTTACCTTGATTTTTAGAAAGCCTTTGATATGGTGCCTCATGAGAGAGTAATTGATTAGTTGAGGGAAATGATGGAAAAGTTAAGAAGTGGACAGAGAGCAACAAGTGTTGAAAGTGTGCCAAGTGGGGTCCATTATGGGTCTATTTTGGGACTTTTGTTGTTCATTATCTGTGATCATGATTTGGATAGCTTCTTGGAGAGTAATTTATTGATTAACCTAAATTGCCAAGAATAGCTGATTTTGTTAATATAATGCTCTCAATAAACCTTGAGAACCTTAATGAAGAAGGCAGAATGTGGAAGACAAGTTTTAACACAAAAAAGTATAAGTTTTTCACTAAAGGTGTGAAAATAATGTAATTGTTGACAAAATCCTAAAGTCTTTGCTGAGTGCTTAGCTTTGATGAAAAAAAAGCAAAGCTACAGTAAAAGGTACATAGTTTTGGATTTATAAAGAAATCAGTCTGATTAAGGCTCTAACAAGTCAGAGTGCAATATGATGTTTGTGTAAAGATTAAAAACACTTATCCATTGTATAGCTTGCAGATTGTACTTGCATAACCTCTACAACTTCATAAATCCATATCTAAAATTTTTCAGTATCCCTATATACTGTATCTGGTATTTTCTGTACTTTAACATAAACTGTTGTAAAATAAGAAGATAGGATAACAAAGGTAACTGACATAAAATTCATAATAACATGTTGAATGCCACTCTGTACAAAATTGTGACATGCACACTTTGACCCCCACTGTGCATATAGGGTTAACTAATAAGTTGCATGTTATCAAGTAATCACAAAAAAATATAAATGTTGGAGGTATCCCACACTTTACAAAATTCAAAAACAGCTAAAATGGGATTTGTCTTACTTTTAAGAGTTAAAATATATGCATTTTTGGATGAAACAAAAAACTGAAAATAATATATTATGAACAAAAAAAGTATGGTTTATTTTAAAGGTCAATTAAAACACTAAGAATTTTTCCTTAACAAAATAATTTAATAACCTCATTAAAAAACAAGGCATCAAAATTGTTATATATGTGCATGATAAAACTCATGTCTGTGTTGATACTGGCATGAGATAAAGTCCAGACAGAGCCCTGGTGGAGAAAAGCCCCTGGAAGGTCCAGCTTTTTATGGCATAAAGGCCCTTCATGAAGCTTGAACGCTAAAACTTTTTTTGTTTAAAAAAAATCGGTAAAATTTTACTGTTTTCTCTCTCAAATTTCTGTCCACATTTTGATATTATTATCAAATACACACTTCATCATATGGCACATCAGCCATGCATACCTCACTGAACCAGACGATTAATGACTCAGCATCTTTCCTCAACAATTTCAGATTAAACTGGCAAATTTAACACTGTCTTGAATCCAAGAAGTCGTGTAAATTCATAAAGGCTTATAACTGATCAGCTCATGATTAGTCCTGTCAACAAATCAAAATCATCCTTGCATACAGTGGCGAAGCAAAGGTTATTAGCACCCGGTGGCAAAGACACTTTTGGCACCCTATCTCTAAAATGTTTCAATTATTTGTTTTGTGACTCATTACCCACTTAATGACAATAACATAAAGAATTAATTACCACCTTACACAGGCCTAAAATAAAGTCACAATATAACATCTCACGATATCACAACTGTAAACCTGGAACTAATGAAGTATAGCCTACTAGGTGTACTTACATAATTTTTAAACCATTTTGATATTTATGTCATCCAGTATTGTTCAAAGTCACACAGCTAGAGTAGCCCCCCAGTGGCACAGTGGTATGTCTGTGGACTTACAACTCTAGAATCCGGGTTTCGATACCCGTGGTGGGCAGAGCACAGATAGCCCATTGTGTAGCTTTGTGCTTAATTACAAACAAACAAAAGCTAGAGTAATATTTCAAGCATTCAGAATAAATTTCTGTTATATCACTAGTTTTGAAACTTATGTTTTATATGAGAAGCCAGTCACTTGTGGTGTAAATGGATTATAAAATAGATTGATAAAATACTACTTAAGTTTACAAATAACAAATTTTATTAGTTTACAAAACTGTACATATACTTAACTAGATCTTGTACAGGTAGCATTCTAGTATTCATTGTTACATTATATGAACCTTTCATGCTTTTGCTGCTGCAAATGCATCAATTAAGCTATCAAAATTTAAGGTATTAAGAACGTCTTTTTCAATATTTAATATTGCCAAGTTACTAAGTCATTCTTGAGTCATTGAGGTTCTCAAGTATGT